AATACTATGCAGAGCCAACAGCATGACTATGTTTTACGGAAATCCATCCTCATTATCAATAGCGAGGTACCCTATTTAATGTGCGTCCAGTGGGAAATCTTTCTTTTGCTTGGAACTTGTTCGCAAACTTGCCTTAGGCAGGCTTGATGTCGGGAAAGGAATCACGTAACTATGAGTAATGAAGCGATTTAGAACAGCAAAAGAACAACCATGCGTCACATAGCGCGAATAGTGCAAGGAGTGGGTCGTCCAGTGCTCTAAAGCATTTCAAAAGCCTATTTTTGATCACCTAATAACTTGTCTATCTTGTCTTCTAGGAGATCTTGGCTCATACCCACAAGGGGGATTGGCCACACTGTACCTCATAATAGATCATTTTTTACAACGCTTGCGAAAAAAAATTAAGAGAAATTAGATGGGAACAATATTAATGTTCCTTTGAAAAAATCTTGAAGAATTGCAGAAGAATGCGATAAACCAGATTATATAAAACAAATTAACAAGAATGAGGAAGGGGGAGAAAGAATTGGATATATCTGGCAGTACTACTAGCAGCGTATCCTTCCGGTTGCCTGAATGAATTTATGTAGCGCTGACAGAACAGCACTGTGGCCCACACCCAACTGACTGGCTGCAAACGATAATAGGGTGGATGTATTGACTAGCAATCTGAGCATACCAATCAGTCTTTCAAGAATTATTCGGCGCAGTGAGGCGAAGCGGCGGCATGTGAGAAGAAAGTGATCTTTTGTTTCCTGTTCATTGCGAACTACACATAGGTTAGTTAATGAAAGTCCTGATTTGTTGAGATAAAAATTTAACAGAGGAACTCTACAGCGAAAGCTTGTGAGGGTCACCTCACACTGACGGGAAAGGCATTTTGCGGTGTTCCATGGGAATTGCGAGTGCCGAAATTCTTCAGGTTGTAGAAGTGACGTTTCGTTGATTTTTAAGATTAACAGGCGTTTGAATCGTTCGGCAGTAATAAAAGGAAACTGTGGAGCTACTAGCGCCACCGGGAAATTTAAAGATGCCGAAGCGAGCGAATCAGCAATTTCATTTAGTTCAATTCCAGCATGCCCGGGGACCCAAATAAACCGAACTTCCGATAGGCTATGTGGTACGAGAGACCAAAATATCCTGAGAAGAGGAGAATTCTTTGCGGACGTGAGATGTGTACATACAGACAAAGCATCCGAAATATTAATAGCTTTTGATTGCTGATAATTTAGTTTTCGAAGAGCCAATTTAATCGCCAGGAATTCTGCGAGATAAATTGGTGTGAAGTCAGGCAATCGGAGCGCAAAGGACCAATAAAGCTGATGAGAAAAGAAACCTACTTCAGCCTTCTGAAGATTTTGCGTTGCGTCCGTCGAAATTACTACGTATTTAGGAAAATGACTGTGATTGTCTTGAAGGAGGCCCTCCAGAACATGCATTGGAAGTAACTTGGCATTTTCCGGAAAAATATTATGGAAAATTAAGTCAACTGGCATCGAGCATTGGGTTTGGGGAGTCAATTGCCGGAGGGAAACGTGAAGATTTGATAACAGAGACTCGACTAAAATGACTTGGGGTCTTTGATAACGAAACCACGGGCGCTGAAAGAAAGAAACTGGATGTTTGATGAAAACTGTCTGTGACCAGAAGAAGGGTGCATCGTAAAGTTTTAAAAATATTTGCACAGTAAGCTGTCGAAATCTAGCATCAAGTGGAAAGATTCTAGATTCCAAATAAAGCACGCTATTCGCGACACACCTAGGTAGCCTGAGACACAGCCGCAGAGCTTGCCTTTCTAGCAATATAAGAGGTCCTAATTTGTACTCAGCACTTCAAGAAAACAGAACACAGCCAAACTCCAGAATCGGCCGTACGTAAACTTTGTATATCATAAGTAACGTATCCTAATAACTATGGTTCATACCTATTTCAGGCAAAAGTCCTCATCGTCGTCAGCCACTGCATGAACGATTGGCACAAAATTTCTTAGAAGTGTTAAGCGGATACCTCGCTTCTCAGAAGAATGAAGAATGACGAAAAATAGCATAGTAAATGCCGGCCTACTACCCAGAAATTATTAATAATAATGTCGTAGGAAGTACCCGACAAGTGTGCTTGCAGCAGTCACGCAATGAGTGTTTAGAGAAGGCTCTGAAAGGCCGCTCTTTGAGCTTTCACTGTGACCGTGGTGCACCTTCTGCACAAGGCCTGAGTTTTTTTTTTGTTGTTATATCGCGATCTGCATCATAAATTGGCTGCCCTTGAAGGTGCTCTTCATAATTTGCAAGGCCGCCCCGCGAAACAAGTTGTGAATTAGCATGTATTATACTAGCTGAAAAACATAACGGTTGTAATATGTTGTCTAGTAAGCATTATCAGTACCCTAATTACGAGCAGACTCCACGGATTCTGGGAATTATTTGATGCGAAGCAGATCTCTTTTCCTTGTGCCAATGGCGACGAGGTGGATTCATGTTCTGAATTGATTGATATGTGGTATTTAATGCCGCAAAACCACTGTATAATTATGCGAGATGCCATAGTGGAGGGCTCCGGAAGTTTTGACCCCTGCGGTTCTTTAACGTGCACCCAAGTCAGAGTACACAGGCCTACAGCGTTTTCGCCTCAATCGAAAATATAGGATCCATGTTCTTGTGTAAACTTAGCAGCTGTGCGATATTGTGCGAAAAACTAACAGGGTGAGTACTTTGGCGTGAGGTCATGATGCGACGTGAGGTCCTACCCTACCATGTGATCTAAGCCATCTGTTTTGTCGCTATCAAGTGCACGGGACAGTGCAACGATGTTCACATCAAAGCCAGTGGCAAGAAAGTATTCGCACAACGCTCAGCACAAGAGCTGCATATGGTATACAGATTACATTTATATAAAACGCGTAGCCAACACTGCAACAACAATTGGCTTTGTCATGAATTTACTCTTTTGAAGGGTTTTTCTCCGAACCGCTTTAAAGAACTGGTGTGAATCTGTGGTATAATAGTTGACAACTACAACGAATCCCTGGGTTCGTGTCTGGCTTGAGCCACGAGCCATATGATTTGCTTCAATGTGGGTATATCATACATTGACAATGGACGCAGGCACCACATGTTCTGAGACGTGCTCCATTACGTGGACACGTCATGATTTCTAGTCTTGATGACGCGTACCCATTTACTATGGGCACCAATAAGCGAGTTTATGTCATATGTTACTACAGGAAAGCATTTCATGACAAACGCGTCATACACATCAATTTTTCTCATGTTATTACCAGCTGAATCGTGTTTGTCATACACTCACAGTCCTGCTATGGGAGTTTTGGTGCACACGAGGTTATATAAATAGCCAGTAGAGCTTCTATGATGTAGATACATATATATAGGATATAGACACGGATAGATAGAAACGATGAGAGTGTCTTGGGTTGTCAGAGAAACGTTTTGGATTCCAAACTTACTTGCTGCGTGACGCCAAAGCAGGTAAAAAAGAGTGCTCACCACTAGTAGTCTGGGCTACTCTGGGGTTTTAATGCTCACCTATGCTTGACGAATCTTAGCTCAGTTCGCAGAGCATCGTGAGCGTTATTCCATTATTCGACTGAACAGCGGGTGCGCTAGTTTTCTACCTGCTCTGTTCCCATTAATAGTGTGAAACGACTAACAACGTGCCATGTACTTTTCTTGTATTGACATTCCTAAGAGTTCTGGTTATATATATATATATATATATATATATATGCGTGTGTGTGTGTGTGTGTGTCTTCACAACAAACATTTTGTAAGGCGGCACTCAGTACTATAAAAATTTTGGGGTAATATATGATAAAGCACTGTTGACAGTAAAATTTAGGTGATAGAGCAAGAAGTCTGTTGGTAGGTAGTCAAATAGATGACCCACAGAAAAGAAGCTGTAATAACAACACAGTGCACGAACATTCCACAAGGAGTTTTCTTTTACGTTCAAGTAAGTCGATTGAATTGTCTAGTGGTCTATGTATATTTCCCCAAAACACAACCCCAACATGTCAGTGTACGGACCTTTGGCACTCTCGTCTCTAATGAAGACGCAGCGGCCACTAAATTGAACTGTAAGGGCCAGTATATGAATGGATGCAATAAATAAATAAATAAATAAATAAATAAATAAATAAATAAATAAATAAATAAATAAATAAATAAATAAATTGATAAATAAATAAATAAATAAATAAATAAATAAAAATAAATAAATAAATAAATAAATAGCTAATTGCCATGTATTTGTTTTTACACTTTGAAGACAGCCTGAGCTTGTCACTTGATGGTGAGGGCACTACTCTGCGAAACTGGAAACAGGCATTTTTCAAAGATGGTGCAGGGAACGAACAATAACGTATTTGAAATGTGTGTCTTATTTATATTACACACAATATTGTGCACAATTCAAATTTACCTCGTGAATTCACCTGCTTGTAGGCAAACACCATTGGAACGTGTATTACTGCATGGGGTGACATACATACCAATGTCCACTTACTTGAAACTCTTGAATACCATGTGACATGACGTTGCTCATCCTATGACCTCAAAATACATATTCATATACCGGTCCCTGCATATAATTATTGCATGCGAATAGGTGACTCAGCAGTATGATATTTTCGCGATAGTATAAAAGCGTCCACTTTTTAGGCTACTTTGGTCCTCGCTAATGACTATTTTTGGGCATCTTTTTTCGTGTTAGAGCGAGTCTACCTGATAGCACATTACGAAACATCTTTGAAGCCTAACTGGGCAGATTACTAAGAAATGACTTGAAGGAAGACACGGCGCTAATAATCTACCAGTGAACCTTAAGAAGACAAGAATTTTTGGGTAACATTTTTGTGCAGGTCAACAAGGGCACGCACAAATGATTCGCCTTATTGTTCCTTTCCTTGAAATGTAGTCTACTTTACCGTAAATATATTAGTAGAGTTTCTGTGCTTTTTTACAAACATTTTAACCTTTTTTTTCCAGGCGTGTGCTTGGACGGCTTTTGCAGATAAAGGAATTCCAGGAATTATTCTTCGCATTTTGGAGTGGGTAGAAAATAAATGGGATTTGATCTTCAGTGTAATGAGTGAGACTTTCAGTGCCTCCTTTCTTGAACGGCTTGAGTTGTTTAAAGAAAGTGATGAGGCTTCTTGACAACATGCAAAATATAGATCGCTCACATAAAAAATTGAAAAAAAAAGAAACAATTCAATCCATCTTCTTGCAGTACGTCTTGCAGTCTTGAGGGACTATCACGTTTGTTGTTCATGCATGCCTTTTTTACCTTAAAACTGAGATGATGAGTGAATAATCAACTGAAAAAAAAGAATATCCTAATGAATTTTGTAGTCAAGACTCCACCACCTCAGTCACATATACAGCCCGCAGCCGCCACACTATGCACACATGCACCTGACATGTGACGCCAACGCTAGGTTGGGTCGCTGTAGTTGTGTGATGATCAGTTATATGTTAAAGCTTGATAACTTTATGATGACTGCTTTCGCTTCGCATTGTAAACCTTGAATAGAGCACCCGGGTGAAAATAGAAGCCACTCAAAATGTGTGGCTTGCCAAGTTTTATGCCTCAAACGCACGACACTTTAGATTTCAAAGCGTTTTATCACCACGTAAATATGAGAAGTGGTCAACTAGGAGACTTGAGATCTGCTTTAGCAGCGAAGCTTTTAAAGTCATGGGTCTGTCTCACCGAGCTCATACATGACCGCCTAGCTTAATGACTCACTCAGCTGGTGTCGATGGACAGACAGAGGGAGAGACAGACAGACAGACTGAAAATAGACAGACAGACGGATGGACGGACGGACGGACGGACGGACGGATAGACAGACAGACAGACAGACAGACAGACAGACAGACAGACAGACAGACAGACAGACAGACAGACAGAGGGATGACTGGTTTACCAACAAATCCCTCCGAAGCTTCGCGCCACTCATCATCATTCGCTCTGTAGATATTCTGTGATTTTTTTATCATTTTGGAACTTTATCCGAAAAAATCACTCGGCAACTTCTTTCATCTAAAGCACACTACACAGAAATGCGGCCGCCGGGGCATGGTGAGCGTTGCCAGTCTCGACGCTTTAGTAGACCCCGCTTCTCCAGGGCTAATGATGCAGACATAACTTAACACATAGAAACATGCTATACAAATTTTAATGACGTAATTGTTAGCGTGCTCTGCACACGATTCAAACAAATGTGTCATTTTCGTTTAGATAGTTTTGAGCCTTCTAAGCACAAAAATGTTAACAAACGAACACCATGAATAAATCGCAGCATCATTCCTATGAAGCGCAAAGCTAACGACTGAAAAAAAAATGGGCAGCAGCTGATTTGATACATGATGCGCACAACAATCTCACTCACACTGTGCACATCTCTAAAAGTATTACTTTAAAACCTCATTGCCTAACATTATTGCAAACGACCCCAGTAAGTTATGGAATTTTATCAGTGAAAAGAAAAAAAAACCGGTATCGCAAATATCAATTGATAGAACCAACGTCACAGATCAGAGAGACATTTCCCGGCACTTTAATCAATATTTCTAGAGTGTGTTAAAGAATTTCGATTTCAACTGTATATCTAAAGCTACAGCCTTTCTTTATGCTGAAGCACTGTTTATTTCTTATCCAGGTGTTGTGTTTATGTTGCTAAATTAAAAAAAATATCACAATTTCTGGTCCTAAAAACATACTGAACGTACTTTTACGACAGTATGCTTTATCTCTAACAAAGTTTTCGGTTAATATTTTTGCTGTTCTTTGTTGTCTTACCAGCTGCCCAGTGACTGGAGGAAAGCCCACGTTGGACGCATGTTCAAAAAGGGAGACCGCTTAACACTAGAAAATCACCGTCCAATCTCACTAACTTTACAATGTTGCAAAATTTAACATAGCATAGCTACTAGTAGGATAAAATTTATTGAGGAACGCTCTATATAAACGAAGTATCAACATTGTTTTCGGAAAGGATTATCATAACTCGACTCGTCACACTGTTTCACTCACTTGCATTAAACTTCGATAGACATGGTAAAGCTTATATGCTCTTAGATTTCTGCAAAGCCATCAATAAAGTTCCCCATAGCAAACTTATTTCCAAACTGAGAACAATAGCTATACCAGAAATATTCGGTTGTTGGATTTCTGCGTATTTAAATAATCTCGAGAAGTACGTTGGTGCAGGGGTCCTATATTCGGACAGTCTTCTGGTCACATCGGGCGTACCACAGGGCAGTGTGTTAGGCTCTTTGCTTTTTCTATTATATATCAATGATATTGTTGATATTATTCACCCTAGTGTAGAAGATTGTTTGCACATGATTGTGTTTTGTTCAAAGAAATACGTTCTACTAACGACTTTCAACGATCTGAACTAGTGTTTGCTATATATATGAATAGTGCAACAAATGGAGAATGTGTCTGAATAAGTGCAACAAATGGGAAATGTATGTGCCTTCAGTGACACGCAAAAAGATTCCACAATCATATACATAAATATGAGGGTCTTCACCACTGCAACAAGTAAACTCCTACAAATAACAAGGTGTGACACTCACTTCTAACTTATCTTGGAATCTCCATATTGATAATGTTTGTTCATCTGCCTTTCGCAAACTATGTCTTCTTAAACCTTAGCTTCAAAGTGCTCCTACGAATATAAACTACTTTGTTACACTGTCCTTCTGCGACCAAAACTAGAGACGCCAGCATAGTATGAGACCCTTATACAAAACGTAGTATATACACTCTTGAGCGTATTGAAACAAAAACAGTTAGATTTTTATTCTACAAGTACTCCGAGTTACACCCTCAGATTTAATACTAGCCAACAACATTCCCTTACTGCAGACGCCAAGACAAAAAGCTTGATTGGAATTTATTCATCAAATTTTGAACAAAAAACTAGCTCTAGATCCATCGCCGTATTTGACACCCCTTAGTAGGCGGCCCACCCGACACCACCACCCAAAGATCTTGATCCCATATTTTACTGGAGGACCTACTGAAGTATTCGTACTTTCCAAGAACCATATGTGAACGGAACTGTCTTACTAATACATATGATGATTGGGAGACACCCACTAAGGGCTAAGCGCGTCCTGCAGGGCTGAAATAAAGTTTTTTCATTCCATTTCATTTCATTGAGTTACCCTACCAGACAACAGTCTTCGCCCTGTATTGTTTTGTTTCACAATTATTTTATTTATGTTTGTATATGTATTACAACCCTGCTTGGAACTTCAGTGTGCAGTATTGAATAAACAAAAATAAATATATGCTTAAAATTACCTTATACTCGGTCCAAACGACTCCCACATGGCGCCACTTGTAAACAAAGGCAAAATAAGGGCAAAAGCATGGCTGCTCAGAATGGAAAAATTACAGTCTATTGGTTACGCAAAGGGCCGATTGTTCATCCACAGTGGCTTGTCAATTTTTCTGGTAAATAGAGAGAAGTATTTTTGCAGGAGGTTAACAAATCATTATTGAAAGGGCTGCTTCGGTAAATACACTTCATCTAACGACGGTCATCCAGAGCACTAAGCGGGGCTAAGCTCACACGGGCAGCGATTTGAATGGGAGCAGTCTTTTGTTAACCAAGTATGGACTTAGAAACAGTTAATAGAAAGGCACGCAAGCTACGAGTAATGTGAGGTTGAAAACAGATAGGCGGTCAGATGGTATTCTACTATGGTAAGAAAGTGCAACAGAAGCACTACCTAAATATAGCCCAGCAATGAAAAAAATGTGGTTTCAATATTGATGCCGGACCATTCGCAATCCTATACTTGCTTAAAATGCGTGGTGAAGCAATCGCTGAAAAAAAAAGAAAAGGTTTTGCGTGTGGCCGCACTGGCGACCACCTGCCGGTAATCCACTCCCTCACCAGAGCAGGACTGGCCTCACTAGTGCAGTACTTGGACACTACCTCCTACATAAACATGCAAATTGAGCATCGGCCCTCAGTCCCTAGTGGCTACGAATAAACTGTCCGAGGTAGTCATCAGTTCTGCGACTCAGCTGAGGGTGCTAAGAATCTGTGGATCCGGACAGGACACCATTGGAGTTCTCAACGTTTAACACTAGAAGGACTAACTATTAAGGTAAATCTAGCTGTGCCATTAAGAATTAAAAGGTGATCATAATAAAATGTCACAGCTTTGCCGCAAAGGCGAAGCAATAACGCGATAGCAACAGATTAGAAGGGCACGCGCGAAGTGGCAAGCAGACTGAAACGTTCCCCGCAGTTTCCCACGCACAAATTCCTGCACGAAACGTACTGGCAGGGTACAGATGAACGCGAATAAGCAGTCTCAGTTGTTACTTCGCTGTGTCTAAAAAGCACGTCCTTTTCGAAAACGTAGGCTGTGCAACGATTGCAGTGACCTTTGTGCGCCTGGTAACTACAACAGAATTATTCCTGGCGAAACCAAAAGGCTAGCCAAGGCGTACGATCTCCCCACTGCAAGATAAGGGCGCGCCATCGAGCGTACACTCCCTTATTTTCTACAGCGGGCCAAAGTACTCCTCGCATTCACGACGCGGAAGTCCCACGTTCGATTCCTCGTGCCGAAGTTTTTTTTTTAATTTTTTCTTTCATGCGTTTTGTTATATATATATATATATATATATATATATATATATATATATTGTGGTAAAGCCTTTGAACAGTGGGTCATCCTCTTCAGCGCCTTCTAGTGGGTCGCCCTTTTTCTTAAGAAGAAGAGCAGCTCGTGCAGAGAGTCGATCCCCGCATTGACTGTCGCTGTCGTGAATCATCGCTGAGTGTCCGTCAATAAACCGCTTAACAATTTGGTGGAGAGTGCTGAGAGTGCTGTGCCCTTCAAACACCTTCGGTCAGCATTCGATGCCCTTGGAGCTTCGATCCCGTACCGTGCCTCCAACCATGTACCAAGACGCCGCCCAGCAAACCCTTCCTCCTACGTCGCCGCCATGTCCCGGTGTCCCCCGCATCCGCGACCCTCCTGTCTTCACCGGCGCGGATGGCACCGACGTCGAGGACTGGCTTGCCATGTACGAACGTGTGAGCG